TCAAAAAAAATCTTTTTGATAATTCACTCCTTAATTTAGATGTTAGTTATAAACTGGTTGACTCAACTAACAGTAGAAATTCAAAAAAAAAATTTTGATAATTCAATTCTTAATTTAGACGTTAGTTATAAACTAGTTGACTTAACTAACAGTAGAAATAAAAAATAAAAGTCGCTCCTCAATCACAAACATATAACACCTAAAAAGATTTAACTATCTAACTAAAATCAAAGTTAAACATAACTAAAAACAAATAACCAATATATCTAAGTACGAAAAATAGTTAAAAAACTTCTATTAACAAAAACCAATATTGTTTAGGTAGCCATTATGAAGGTTTCTATCCTTAACAAGGCATTCTTAGATAATTGTACCAGTGATCAGTATGTTCAAGTCAACAGATACACTTACCGGCTAAGTTGCCTATCCACTTACTAACAATCAAACTATTGCATATAATTATGTATTGCTGACCAAACTCAAGCAACTTCCATATTTGCAATTTGATAATTTCTAAAGATATATAAATAACCACAATTGAAAATATAACGGATCTACAAACACAGAGCATTAAAATATATAACATCTTTTGATATTTACCCGATAGTTCGATCAAACAAAATCCATTTTATGTAAATCAGCGTATTGAATGCTACAACATTTAATTTTAGAAACTAATTATTTTAAAGAAAAAAAATGAAAACCAAAAAACCTTTAGAAAAGTAAGTTTAAAACTACACTCGTTTGAGAATAAAGAGTTAAACTTACCTTTATTAAGGAAAAGACTCCACAATGCTGTCTCCCTAGGTGTGTCAATTCATGGCACTAAAATCACCATTGCAAATTGTTCCTCATGCTCTTGCTATTACGGAATTATCATACGTATGCCATGAACTAACCATCACAGACAACAATCGAAGAGAGAAAAGGATCAGAAGCACCAGTAATGATCGCACCCTTGCTTTTAACATACAGAAGATAATCTAAAGCTGCCTTAGTAATTGATTCACCGGGAATCATTAAAGGAATCCCAGGTGGATAAGGACATATCAGCTCCGCACAAACCTTTCCATCACTCTCCTCATTTTTTATTTTCTTTTTACTTGAAAAGAATGCATCCCTTGGGTTTAAGCTGATAGTAATATCAGCAAAAGGTGCCAAATTTTCAGAAGCTACTTTCTCCTCAATTTTCTGAATAGATATGCAAGTTGCTGATAAGTGCTCCATTCCTCTCACTAACCTTTCATGTGATCTCGATAAGTTCCAAGATTGATTGCAAAGTAGTAGACCGGGTCCCAACAAGTTCACAGCTTATGCTTTCACATGAGTATAGAATTTCATCTGCTTCATAACCAGATAGACCAAGCTGCCAAAACCCAGTAGTAAGCAGCAGAGGATCAATTGGGGGAAAGCTAGTGAAACTTGGAAAATCAAGCACTGAGATGCCTGTAATCTTTTCGACCAAAAGTTTAGCTTCAATAGCCAAATCCAATGCTTTGTTAAAAACGGTTTCTGGGTTCTCACTAAGCTGAGCTCTAGCTGCATCTAGAGATGCTAAAAGAAGGTAACTAGGGCTAGAGCTGTGGAGGGTCTGAAGGCACCTACTTATTCTTTCTCTATTTACATTATTCCCTGACAAGTGCAACATCGATGACTATGTAAGAGAACACAGAACTTTGTGAGTGGATTATACAGCTAAATCAGTCCCTTGTTGAAGGGCTGATTGAGGCAGCCGCGGATGAAATCCTAAATGTGCCCCGTGAGCCTGATCAACTATCAGAGGAATTCCATGAGAGTGACAAAACTTGGAAATCTCACTCAAGTTGCTGCATATACCATGATATGTAGGAGAAATGACCAAAACTGCTGCTGCTTTGGAGCCTTTCAATTCCAATTCCTTAATTGCTTCTTCTACCTGTAGCAATATTCAATCTTCAGATACATAAGAAAATAATGGGGAAAAAAAGAAATTTAGACATTGCCGAAACAGAGGCACTTTTTTCACACAAAATGCAGCAACCATTTTCAGAACTTTCTTGTTTTAAATGTTACTGTAATATTCTTCCACCTAATTTCACTATTTTTCCAAATCAAATATTAGAAAAGGAGAAAGTGGATAGCCAAGCTAACTTCTAAGATTAAAAGCTAGATTTATTTGATGATTTAACAGGGTAATGCATTATCAGAGTCCTGCTTTTTTTTTTTAACATCATCAAAACTATAATATTTTTTTCTTTAAGGTCACCATGTTCAAAATAATTTCAGAAATGACACTCTAATAACCAAACTAAATCCTAACACGAAACTAAGCTCGTTGGATGATCTTAGTCAAGTACTCAGTTGTTTATTTTAACAAATTCCCAGATAAATCACCATTTTATAATTACGTATCAGACTTCTCAGGCTGACTTGCCTGTGATGGAGTGACCCCACCAGCAATGTCCCACTCATAATCATATTCAGGAATAATGTACATAGGTATTGCCCCAGATAAAACCATAGCAGAAATAGCTGACATATGAGAATTCCGAGGGAGAATCAGATATTCTCCAGGAAAACAAGTAGCCATTATGGCTGCTTGTATTCCACAAGTAGTACCTCCAACAAGAAACCATGTCTCTGATGATCCAAAAAGTTTGGCCGCTTGCTTCTGTGCCTCTAAAATTGGTCCCTCCGGAGAACAGAGATTGTCAAGCTCAGGAAGTTCTGGTAAATCATGAACAAATGGTTAACTTTTTTATGAGAAAAGGAGAATTACTAGAAAGCAACAGAATTGGATACATCATGGGATCCACCAAAAAGAAAAGAATTAAAGTAAACAAAGAGAGAAGTAGCTGAAAGAATAGAAAGGATCAACCAGGAACAGCTAGTCAAGTCTCTATGAAAGTAGAGTATCAAAATATCCTTATAAAGCCCATTCATCCACCTTAAACAGAAATCCAAAACAAAAGTCAACTAATCCCAAATAAGCAATGAAGGAGAAAATGGTCCTTCAAAATTCTAACACCCGCTCGTCCAAACTCCCAACAGAGCAATAGCAATCTATTCTACTTCTTTTCCCATCCCACAAAGAGGAGGCAATAAAACACGCAATACATGGAACAGAAATCCAACAAGCACCAAAGACATAAAAAAGCTAGCCCAAAACATCCATGCAACGTCACAGTACGAGAGAAACAGCTATGCGACTTGGCGTTCCAAAAGCACACGCACATATACCTTGGGACAAAGCACGATTTGGCCTACGAAATTGAAGCAAGCCATTAGTATTGAGGCTTCCAAGCAAAAGCCTTCATTTCGGAGGGAGAGAAACCTTGCAAAAACAACTTCCAATGCAATATTCTTAATGAAGTTATTCTCGTTAAAAGTCCAAAGAAGAACTTCCAGGTAAAACTAACAGAGGAGTCCACAGCCCATACCCTAAGTTTAGAGTGTGTGTTACCAAATTGACATTTAGGCGTACTCTAATTTCTCCTCCTCTGAAATTCAATTCAGGGGCTAGCCACAAAAGTAGTCAGAATATTAAGACTCTTTTGCAAAATCTCTGTAATATGTAAAAGCAGCAGGTTTTCTTAATATTTTTGACACTGTTAAGCTTAATTCAATATCAATACAATAGAATATCTTTTTTTCTTAAAAAATGAAATAAAGATTTTTTAAAAAGAAAAAGAAATATTTGATTACAAATTAATATATAAACACCCTTCTAATTACGAAAAAAAAATCTATGAAAAAATTGACTAAGAAATCATTATTACTATAATTTACCTTTGATTAATGTCAAAAAAAATAGAGAAATAGAGTTAAGAATCTTGTAGAATTTAAAATAAAAACTTAAATAAATGAGATTCATATAAAAAAGATGAATCAATTCATTATGAAAGATTAAACTTTTTTAAAATGGATTCAAAGATCAGTTTTCTCATTGTTCAACAGAAATACATCTTGATCAGTGACTCCTTCAAAGAAGTTAGAGTTGGTAAGGAGATAGAAGATTTGACAGATCTTAGTTCAGAAAAATTTCAATGATTGGAAGATTTATTAGTATGAAATTTTATTAGGCACATTACCTATTGTGATCATGGACTATAGCAACAACGATCATGTATGACTTCACAATACGAGCAGGTCTTTTTCAATCAAATTTTATAATAAGCATTGACTAAATTAGAAAACAGGAGCACCAACTTTTCATTTAAACACATTTAGAATGTTAAAGTTTCACGTTGTATATATCATTTTTGCGCGAGGCTGGTACACCATAAACAAATTAATGAGATAGGTTAAGATAATGATGAATGTATGCTATTTCTACGAAGAGAATGAGAAAACTTGTAATTATGTGCTTCTATGGTGTCCGAATGTGTATAGACTTTAGACCATGGTGTGGGAGCTATTAGGAGTCAATTAGGCAACAACTGACTTAGTTAAAAACGAATTATGGGTTTGGAAGAACATTGGTGAGAGAAAAAAGTAACCGGACCCCATTCCGTTCACTATTTCGTGAGCAATATGGATGAAAGAAACATGAGAGCTTTTGAAAACATATACGTTTATTAATGATTTTTACTTTATTAATAAGAGATGGTTTAGATCCTTATATTTTTGTTATTAGGTTATCATTTAAATTTTATGGAGGATTTAGGAAATCTCATTAATATTTTGATAAATTTATAAACATTTTGTATACGGACTGACACCTCTTTAATATCTTATATTAAGAATATAAAATTATATTTATATTATAAAAAATTATTTTAATAACTTTTGAACATAAAAATATATACTATCTCTTTTATTTGTTAGGTCGAACAAAATCTCTCTTTGTAAATCCGCATATTGAATGCTCCAACACTAATTAATAAATTAACTATAGAAATTAATGCTTTTAAAAGAAAAAATGAAAACATAAAATGCCTTACTTTGAGAAATAAGTTTGAAACTACAATATACTAAAAAAAATAATAATTAATAAATTAAAACTTCACTATTTTTAGAATAAAGTCTTAAAATTACTTTGTTTAAGAAAAAAAAAATCCATAACGTTGTCTGTTGATATTCATGACGCTAGATATCACCACTTGCGAAACGTTCCTCAAGCTCTTGTTATGAGGAATTATCATTTACCATGCTCTGAACTACCCATCACAGACAACAATGGAAGAGAGGAAAGGATCAGAAGCACCGGTAATGATCGCACCTTTGCTTCTAACATACAGAAGATAATCTAAAGCTTCTTTGGTAATCAATTCACCCGGAATCATTAAAGGAATCCCAGGTGGATAAGGACATATCATCTCCCCACAAACCTTTCCAACACTCTCCTCAATTTTCATTTTCCTTTTACTTGAAAAGAATGCGTCCCTTGGATTCAGGGTGATAGTAATATCAGCAAAAGGTGCCAAACTTTCAGAAGCCACTTTCTCTTCAATTTTCTGAACGGATCTGCAAGTTGCTGATAAGTGCTCCATTCCTCTCACTAACCTTTCAATGTGATCCCGACAAGTTCCAAGGTTGATGGTAAAAGTAGTAGATCGAGTCCCAACAAGTTCACAGATTATGCTTCCATATGAGTACAGAATTTTATCTGCTTCATGACCAGATAAACCAAGCTGCCAAAACCCAGTAGTAAGCCGCAGAGGATCAATTGCAGGGAAGCTAGTGAAACTTGGAAAATCAAGCACTGAGATGCCTGTAATCTTTTTTACCAAAAGTTGTGCTTCTGTAGCCAAATCCAATGCTTTGTTAAAAATGATTTTTGGGTTCTCGCTAAGCTGAGCTCTGGCTGCATCGAGCGATGCTAAAAGAAGGTAACTAGGGCTAGTGCTTTGAAGGGTCTGAAGGCACCTACTTATTTTTTCTCTATTTACATTATTCCCTGACGAGTGCAACATCGATGACTGTGTAAGAGAACATAGAACCTTGTGAGTGGATTGTACAGCTATATCAGCCCCTTGTTGAAGAGCTGACTGAGGCAGCTGCGGATGAAATCCTAAGTGTACCCCGTGAGCCTCATCCACTATCAGAGGAATTCCATGAGAACGACAAAGCTTGGAAATCTTCCTCAAGTTGCTGCATATACCATGATACGTAGGAGAAGTGACAAGAACTGCTGCTGCTCTGTGACCTTTCAGTTCCAATTCCTTAATTGCTTCTTCTACCTGTAGCAATATTCATCTTCAGATACAGAGGAAAGTAACGGAGAAACAAAGAAATATAGACATAATACCAAAACAGAGGCATTTTTTTTAACACAAAATGAAGAAACCACTTTCAGAACTTCCTCGTCTTTAAACATCACCGGCACTCTAATCTTCTCTTCCACGTGTTTTTCCTTGCTCTTCCAAATCAAATATTAAAAAAGAAAAAACTGGATAGCCAGGCTAACTTCTGAGATGAAAAGTTAGATGTATTTAATGATTTAACAGGGTATGCCATTATCAGAATCCTGTTATCTTGAACATCATTGAAACTATAATATTCTTCTCTTCAAGTGTGCCACCATGCTCATATCAAATCTAAGGTACTAAACTGTTAACAATCAAACTAACTCCTAAAACAAAAAGTAAGCACATTGGATGATCTTAGTCAAGTACTCAGATAAATGACCACTTATATAATCATGTGTCAGATTTCTCCAGCTGACTTGCCTGTGATGGAGTGACCCCACCAGCTATGTCCCAGTTGTGATCATATTCAGGAATTATGTACATAGGTATTGCCCCAGATAGAACCATAGCAGAAATAGCCGACATGTGACAATTCCGGGGGAGGACTAGATATTTTCCAGGAGAACAAGTTGCCATTATGGCCGCTTGTATTCCACAAGTGGTACCCCCAACAAGAAACCATGTCTCTGATGATCCAAAAAGTTTGGCCGCTTGCTTCTGTGCCTCTAAAATTGGCCCCTCCGGAGAAAAGAGATTGTCAAGCCCAGGGACTGCTGGTAAATCATGTATAAATGGTTGTAAACCAATAAGCTGAGTTAAAGAAGGTGGAGCAGCATGACCTCTGTTATGTCCAGGGAAGTGAAAACTGGCGACATTTTTATTGGCTGAAGATTGTAGAGCACTAACCAATGGAGGAAGGCTAACTGTCTGAGGAATATGTTCGCTCTTTTTAAGAATTTCATCTTTTTTTACTGGCCAGATGGTTTCTGACTTGATACATCTGTCCTGCTTCTTTCCAGGTTCGAAGATGTCTCTTTCCTGTGATATATTTTGAGGAATTAACCGAATTCCTTCCCTGCTATATCTGTCATTCTTCTTTCTTCGCTCTGAGATGCCTCTTTCCTGTAATACATGATGAAGAATTAGAAGATTTATATAAACTGCAGTGTGGTCCTGGGCAGAAATGCATTAGATCAACCTCCAAAAAGTAAGGCAACCAACTCTTACATTATTTGTTCTCATAACATTTATCCTTTTTCTCTTCCTGCTTTATGAGGTAGAGAATTTCTACTAAAGTGTCTCATTAATATGCCATTATTGAAATACTCTTAACGAGCAAGCTAACTCCACCTTCTCCCAACCTCTGCATTAACTTTTCTAGGAATAGAGCTAGTGTACAGAATTCAAATCTCTAGAAATGGTTGAAATAGATTATAGACTTCAGTAAACAGATGAAGTTAGCAAGAACCTGTACACTGGCCACAAACACGATGCACACTGAAACGCAATATTCACCATTAACAGCTAATGGTAAAGCAGTAGACGTTGACAAAACCAATTCATATAAACAGCCAGTCAAGTATCAAAGCCCTTATATTCACCTTAGCTCAAACAGAAAGCTAAAAGTAAAAAATCAGCTTATCCCAAATAAGCAATGACGTAGAAAATGGTCCTTCATAATTCTACTCTCTTTCTTTCCATGCCACAAAGGGAAGAGACCATGAAACACTCACGATTTGGAAGATAAACCCAACAAGCACCAAAGACATTAGAAAAGCTAGCCCAAACCCTCCATCCAACTTCACGGTAGAAGAAAAGATGGCTATGAGACTTAAGCGTTCAAAAAACACATGCACACACACCTTTGGACAAAGCAAGACTCGGCCTCCAAACTTGAAGCATGTCATTGGCATTGACATCGGAGCCTTCCAAGCAAAAGCTTTTGCTTGACAAGGAGAGAGACCTTCCAAAGAGAAGGTCCAAGGAATATTCTGAGTGAAATGATTTGGGTTAAAATTGCAAAGTAAGAGTTGCAGGTAAAATCAACAGAGGATTCAAAAACCATGTCACTACGCTTGGAGCTGGAAGAAAAGATGAGTAGCTCAAGAAGATTAAGTGACAAAAGCAGCAAGAAGAGACTTTAGGAAATGTTACTTTTGAGTGTGGACATTGAAGCTCGACATGGGATAGGAATGTTAAGGGGAAGGAAGAGAAGGCTATACAAATGAGGAACTTGAATGGGTTTTGGACCAGTTTGAGATAATTTATGGATTATGAGAAAGCTGGTTTTTCTTTGAAGTTTTGGACAGGTTAGATAAGTTTAAAAATTGGGTAACTTTTTTTGTTATTTTTAATTTTTTAACATTTTTGTTGTGGTGAGTACTTTCATTATAGTTGGCTCTCTTTTCTTCTTGGTTCTTCAAGTTATTTGGTTTCTTTTAACTCTTTGTTGTGGTTAATTCTTAGTTCCATAATTAATTTTTAAAAAAATTGCAAGCCAAAGTTAATTAGTTTATGTCATTTTACAAATTTAGTTTTTCTTGATAGGAGTAGTAGAGGTGTTCTTAATCTAGTCCAAACCAAAAAATTAGATCGGATATTAACTATATCAAACTTGTTTCGTCCAATCTCCTGTGCATAGGTGGGAGAATTAAAATTTTCAAGATGTTTTTCATTTAAAAAAAAAAAAAAAGCATATATTTAATACCGAATTGATATTGAATAGAATAAATTATTATTCGTTTTATTAACTTCGTTAATTTTATTAATTTTGTTAATTATCTTTTAATTAAAAATTGTAGTGAAAAATAAGTTTAATTTGGTTGGAATTAGATCAAATAAATGTAGTATATTTTTGGTTTCAAAACTAGAGGGAAAAAAAAAAAAAAAAAAAAAAAAATTGTCCATTTCCAACTAATGAATTGTCAAGATATCAACAAATTGTTAAGACCAGAAGGTGGGATTAATGACCAAACTAATAGGGAGTTATTAACTGTTAATATCCATAATAAGCATTGAACTCAACTCATTCATTATAGATATAACAGACACTAATAAAGAATTTATTATAGAACATGAATATAATAAAACATATATTGAAGTACAAATGACAAATCTGATAATATGTCTTCGGTTCGGACACACAAGTCCAATAATGTCTGTCTTGGGTCTACAATGTACAAAATAAGATAATGAACGGTACACATCATTGATCAAGACAGACTTTTTATTACCTTCCCCACATCTACTAATAATTTCCTTTACTGGAAAGAACTACATACAATGATGAATACATATTGACGTAAAAATATTTTCCACGATGGCTCCACAACTAAATTTTTAATTTCTAACAGATCCAATCACGTACATTTTTGGGCTCAACAAACTCTAATAATGTATGTTTTGGGTCTACCAATATAATGACACATATAGTAGATAGTAAAGTCATTTACGCGATCATGATCACCTCCCGGCCGAGCAATACCTTCTCTTGTTGAATATTTTACGCACAGATGCTCGGTTTACATCAAACTAAACCTCCAATCCCATATGAATACAATAATGAATGCGCTAAACAATTTCAAGTAAGGCGTTTTATCTCCCTGCAATGCTTTTATCACCTTTCGAAACTATACATCCACCTACAGACATATTTCTATGCATGCTATAAACATATAATATAGATATACTATGTACACTCACCTACAGATTTATTTCTTCGTTCTTAATATTTTATGCACAGATGTTCGGTTTAAATGGAACTAACCGAGAAGACCTGAACCAACCGAACAAGTTGGTTCCATTTAATTGGCTGTTCAGTTTTCTCAAAACATTTTCAGTTTCATCCATTCAAATTAGATTCCAAAACTTCCTGACTGAACCAATCAAATATTTTTTAATATTATAATAATTAATAATTATATGTTAAAAATATTATAATAACTAAAATAACTCATAATTATATATATTTACATATCACGTACTTTGTATATTATATTTAATTTTAATACTAAATTTAAGTTTGATTTTTGTAATTTGGAATTTTTTAATTCAAAAAAAAAATTTTTTTTTTCATAATTTATTCCTTAATTCAGACTCTAATTAAACTGGTTGACTCAATTAACAGTAGAAATAAAAATTTAACAGTTAGATCAAGCAAAATCAATTTTAAGTAAATCGAATGCTACGACATTTAGTTTTAAAAACTAATGCTTTTAAAGAAAAAAATAATAATGAAAACCAAAAACCCTTTTAGAAAAGTAAGTATAAAACTACACTCATTTGAGAATAAAGAGTTAAATTTACCTTTATTAAGGAAAAGACTCCACAATGCTGTCTCCTTTTGGTGTGTTGATATTCATGGCACTAAAATCACCACTTGCAAATTGTTCCTCATGCTCTTGCTATTACGGAATTATCATAGGTATGCCATGAACTAACCATCACAGACAACAATCGAAGACAGAAAAGGATCAGAAGCACCAGTAATGATCGCACCCTTGCTTTTAACATACAGAAGATAATCTAAAGCTGCCTTAGTAATTGATTCACCAGGAATCATTAAAGGAATCCCAGGTGGATAAGGACATATCAGCTCCCCACAAACCTTTCCAACACTCTCCTCAATATTTATTTTCCTTTTACTTGAAAAGAATGCATCCCTTGGGTTTAAGCTGATAGTAATATCAGCAAAAGGTGCCAAATTTTCAGAAGCTACTTTCTCCTCAATTTTCTGAATAGATATGAAAGTTGCTGATAAGTGCTCCATTCCTCTTACTAACCTTTCAATGTGATCTCGACAAGTTCCAAGATTGATTGCAAAAGTAGTAGACCGGATCCCAACAAGTTCACAGATTATGCTTCCATATGAATATAGAATTTCATCTGCTTCATAACCAGATAGACCAAGCTGCCAAAACCCAGTAGTAAGCCGCAGAGGATCAATTGCGGGAAAGCTAGTGAAACTTGGAAAATCAAGCACTGAGATGCCTGTAATCTTTTTTACCAAAAGTTTAGCTTCAGTAGCCAAGTCCAATGCTTTGTTAAAAATGGTTTCTGGGTTCTCACAAAGCTGAGCTCTAGCTGCATCTAGAGATGCTAAAAGAAGGTAACTAGGGCTAGAGCTTTGGAGGGTCTGAAGGCACCTACTTATTCTTTCTCTATTTACATTATTCCCTGACAAGTGCAACATTGATGACTGTGTAAGAGAACACAGAACTTTGTGAGTGGATTGTACAGCTATATCAGCCCCTTGTTGAAGGGCTGATTGAGGCAGCTGCTGATGAAATCCTAAATGTGCCCCATGAGCCTCATCAACAATCAGAGGAATTCCATGAGAGTGACAAAGCTTGGAAATTTCACTCAAGTTGCTGCAAATACCATGATATGTAGGAGAAGTGACCAAAACGGCTGCTGCTTTGCAGCCTTTCAATTCCAATTCCTTAATTGCTTCTTCTACCTGTGGCAATATTCAATCTTCAGATACATAAGAAAATAACGGGGAAACAAAGAAATATAGAGATTGCCGAAACAGGGGAACTTTTTTCACACAAATGCAGCAACCATTTTCAGAACATTCTTGTTTTAAATGTTACTGATACTGTAATATTCTTCCATCTAATTTTTACTATTTTTCCAAATCAAATATTAGAAAAGGAGAAAGTGGACAGCCAAGCTAACTTCTAAGATGAAAAGTTAGATTTACTTGATGATTTAACAGGGTAATGCATTATCAGAGTCCTGTTTTTTTTAATATCATCAAAACTTTAATATTTTTTTCTTTAAGGTCGCATGTTCAAATCAATTTCAGAAATGACACTCTAATAATCAAACTAAGCTCATTGGATGACCTTAGTCAAGTACTCAGTTATTTATTTTAACAAATTCCCAGATAAATCACCATTTTATAATTATGTATCAGACTTCTCAGACTGACTTGCCTGTGATGGAGTGACCCCACCAGCAATGTCCCACTCATAATCATATTCAGGAATAATGTACATAGGTATTGCCCCAGATAAAACCATAGCAGAAATAGCTGACATATGAGAATTCCGAGGGAGAATCAGATATTCTCCAGGAGAACAAGTAGCCATTATGGCTGCTTGTATTCCACAAGTGGTACCTCCAACAAGAAACCATGTCTCTGATGATCCAAAAAGTTTGGCCGCTTGCTTCTGTGCCTCTAAAATTGGTCCCTCCGGAGAAAAGAGATTGTCAAGCTCAGGAAGTTCTGGTAAATCATGAACAAAAGGTTGTAAACCAATGAGCTGAGTTAAAGAAGGTGGAGCAGCATGACCTCTGTTGTGACCGGGGAAGTGAAAACTGGCAGCATTTTGTTTGGCTGAAGATTGTAGAGCACTAACCAATGGAGGAAGGCCAACTGTCTGAGCAATGTGATGGCTCTTTTTACGAATTTCACCCTTTTTGACTGGCCCTGTGGTTTCCAACCTGATACATTTCCCCTGCTTCTTTCCTCGCTCTAAGATGTCTCTTTCTTGTGATATATTTTGAAGAATTAACCCAGTTTCTTCCTTGCTATATTTATTATTCTTCTTTCTTTGCCCTAAGATGACTCTTTCCTGTAATACATGATGAAGAATTAGAAGATTTATATACATTGAAATTCTGTCCTGGCCAAAAATGCAATAAATCAACCTCCAAAAAGAGAAAGCAACCAAATCTTACATTTATTTATTCTCATTATTGCTGGTCCTTTTTATTTTTTTGCCGTATAAGTGTGAAAGTTTCTATTGAAGTGTCTCATCGACATGCTAATATTGAAGTACTCTAGGCAAGAGCTTCATCTAAGCTCATTCCACCCCCTGCCGACCTCTGTTTTAACTTATTGTGCAATAGAACTAATGTGCAGAATCGAAATTTCTAAAATGGTTAACATAGATTTATAGACTTCAGTAAGCAGACGAAGTTAGCAGCAACCAGTACACTGGCCCAGAAAACAGGACACAAACCGAAACGCGAAATTCACCATTAACAGCCAATTGTAACGCAGTGGATGTAGACAAAACCAATTCACATAAACAATTCTTAATCTAGATCATTGTAATAGCCACTAGAAAAGAAAATTTTCGTTTGCATAAACTCCATAATATAAATCGTAATTGATCTTTTGGATAAAAGAGAAGAAAAAAGTTTAAAGGAAATTAAGAAAAAGAAAAGATTCTATAACTTGCTAGACATGTACTCTATCCCAAAACAATTCATAAATTAATGAGAAAAATTACACCAGGTGAATTACAATCTTCCTTTATGTCTTGGTATATTAATTATAACTAGGTTAACTTTTTCATGAGAAAAGGAGAACTATTAGAAAGCAACAGAATTGGATACATCATGGGATCCACCAAAAAGAAAAGAATGAAAGTAAACAAAGAGAGAAGTAGCTGAAAGAATGGAAAAGATCAACCAGGAACAACTAGTCAAGTCTCTATGAAAGTAGAGTATCAAAATATCCTTATAAAGCCCATTCATCCACCTTAAACAGAAATCCAAAACAAAAGTCAACAAAACCCAAATAAGCAATGAAGGAGAAAATGGTCCTTCAAAATTCTAACACCCGCTCGTCCAAACTCCCAACAGAGCAATAGCAATCTATTCTACTTCTTTTCCCATCCCACAAAGAGGAGGCAATAAAAGACGCAATACATGGAACAGAAATCCAACAAGCACCAAAGACATAAAAAAGCTAGCCCAAAACATCCATGCAACGTCACAGTACGAGAGAAACAGCTATGCGACTTGGCGTTCCAAAAGCACACGCACATATACCTTGGGACAAAGCACGATTCGGCCTACGAAATTGAAGCAAGCCATTAGGATTGAGGCTTCCAAGCAAAAGCCTTCATTTCGGAGGGAGAGAAACCTTGCAAAAACAACTTCCAATGCAATATTCTTAATGAAGTTATTCTCGTTAAAAGTCCAAAGAAGGACTTCCAGGTAAAATTAACAGAGGAGACCACAGCCCATACCCTAAGTTTAGAGCCGGAAGAGAAGCTAACAAACTCAAGAAGATTAGGTAAGGAGAGCATCAACAGTTTCACGACCATTAAGATTTCGAAGAAATGTGACATTGAGTGTGGAGTGTAGGGACATTGAAGGTCCGGTAATGGAGCGTGAAGGCGAAGGAATAGATGGGGAAAATGGATTGGCGCAATTCTTTGAGGGGTTTAAGTTGAAGGGTTTTGGACGGAGGGGTAGGAATTACCAGGCTAGGGAGTTTTGACCAGTTTGAACTCAAAAGATAAGGGTGGGATAACTTATGATTAAAAAAACCCGGTTATTTTTTTGGGATAACATGATTAAAAAGAACCCGGTTTTTTTAAGCATTCAGTGGGCTAAGGAAGAGCAAAATCCTATATTGGTAATTATATTATTATTATTTTACTTAATTTAATTCTTATACAATTTTTTATTTTTTAATTATTGTACTTTCGATTTATATTAGTTTATTATTATATTTCACGTGTGTTACTAATTTGACACGTTAGCGTACTCTAATTTTTCTTTCTTTACAATTCGATTTAAGAGTTAGTTCTGGTCTTTATAAAAGTAGTCGAATATCAAGATTTTTTTTATTGAGTAATCTCTATAATTTATAAAAATAAAGATTTTTTAATATTTCTGATACTATTAATTCAATTCAATATTGATCAATATAATGAAACTTTTTTTTTTCCTTAAAAATGAAATAAAGATTTCTTTTGAAGAATAAAAAATATTTTATTACAAATTTAGATATAAACTCCCATTTTAATTATGAAAAAAAATTTATTAAGAAGTCATTATCAATGTAATTTATTTAAGATTAGATGATATCGATTAGTATCAGAAAAATGAGATTCATACAAAAATAATAAATTTATTCATTATAAAAGATTGAATTTTTTTGAAAGGGACTTGAATAAAAAAATATAATTTTTTAAAAAAATTATAAATATGGTTTTTTACCATCTAAATCTATTAATTCTAATGACAAAAGTTTTTTTTTTTTTTTTTTATGTAATCAACTCATTTGCCATTTGGATTTGTCAAATGTAAATCTAGTGGTGTTCATATTCTTCTAGCATTGGCTTTGCTTAATAAGTCGAAAGGAATACCTCGTTATCTTCAGCCAAAATGGAGATTCAGAAAAGTTTAGTTCATCTATTGGATTAGATATGTTTGACAATCTCTTAATACTATTAAGAATGGGTTGTTTTATGAGAAGAACATTGAGAGTTTAAGAGATGATTTACTTAAGCTTAGTAGAAGACGGGTGAATCCAGAAGGGGGAGAGAGCACCATACGAGGAGAGGAAGAAATCATGACTACTTAAAACTGAGTTATAGAATTACGTCTACATATGTATATATGTATATGTAACTAAGGTGGCAGTTGGGGGCATAATGGGAAATTAAGAAAACAAAAAAGAGCTCCCTATATAATGTAGCAAGACCTGGATATGGAGTTTAATTTATTAAAATATGAAGGAATTAAACGCCCATACCTGCTTCGTCCCAACTCCCGCACCACGGTGCCTTCGTCTTTCTGGCTGATTCCTGGGCTAACTGTTTTTTTCTCCAGAATTCTCTAGTTGTATCCATCTTCTGCAAAAGTTAGTGTCGTGATACAATGGCCATGAGAACTCCACCAGTGACAGGCTTTCGCCTCCCTTCACCAAACCCTTCTTCTGCAACTACTCCACCGCCTATCCTTAGGTTACTACCTCTTAAATCATCATTTTTCGGAAATCCAGGTATGTTGTTTTGTCGTATATTTGTTTTTGTCTTTTTTTTTTTGTTCTTTCATTTTCCAGTTCTTTATTTTGATTCTCGGTTTATACACTTGCTTGGCTTCTCCCTATTATAGAAGAGGGTGAATCCGATTATCCAGTTTGTTTACTCGCCGAGAAATCGTGTTCTTGAATTTTATATAGTAGAAAAGGTTTTATAGTAGCAGTTTTTATTCTTTTCCCGCTCTGCTAGGTTCTTTTATGTTGATAGCAATTGATTATCAGCATTTATGTTGATACTCAATCACCCTACTGTTCATTTGATTATAAAGAGATGATGATGCCAAGAAAATATTTCCGGAGAGAAATTCAGAAAGGGAATAAAGATGAATTTGCTAGACTTTCATTGAGTTTTCAGAATGAAAATGCAAGAGGCTAATCTAGGCTCTTCATGGCAACAAACATTTCAGGGTTATTGGGTTAGTTAGTAACCATATCTTAACTTCTCCTCCAAATTATGATTCATTACTTAGAAATTTTTGACACTCTTTGCAATTGTAGAATTACTATTATGCTTCCCATATACAATTCTCCTTAAGCTTCCTTGTCCTCAGGGGAAAGAGCAGGAAATCAAGCTTTAACTCTGAAAATCTGGTTTTCAATTCATTACCTGTAAATAGTTTCCGTATATCATGCGAGGTCCTTTAGAAAAGGTCATCATATTTTTTTCGGGATTAACAAATTTCATAAAGAATCCTTCACCAATGTCAGCCACTACATACTCCTCCGGGGTCTTCGAAAGAGTATTTAGCTTGTTACAAGGACATAATGGTCACTCTTCTCTTTCAAATAACCCTCTGATACATTGCAAATTCGTGAAGGACGTTTATCTTTAGGACAAGATTGTTTAGCTCACTGAACATCTTATCATCCAACTCAATTTCAATTCCACAGGAGCTTTGTGCATTTTGCATCATAGTTGCATGAACGGATGTCTCTGGGAGCTGTTACGATTTATTCCCTTCTCCATCATTTTAACTATTATTTGGTTGTTGTGTCCCTGGGACTATTTTGTCATGCTGTCCTCGTCTGAAGTTATTGCTAGATTTTGCACTTTTCTGTTTCTTTTGTTCTGTGGATGATGAGATCTCTCTCGTCTGCTGATAGGAGTGTCTTACATTCAGTCTTCATCTTCTTCCTCTTTCTCTAATGCTCTCATCTGGGCAATGAAACCTATTAAATCTTCTTTACATTTTAAAAAATGGGATGCATCTAATATTATAGAATGTTATCATGTAATTTTTTAGTTTTTATTCTTTTCTTTAAAAAAATTAAGAATAAAATATCTAGTATGTTATATTATTATTTGGAGTATTTTATGAAGCTTTAGGCATTTTTGTTTAGTTTGCTGTCTCATTTGGGATTTAGTTTCGTTCTTTTGGAGTGTAAGAGGTCCCTATATAGGAAAACTTTTATTTAAAATTCCAAATAAATAACTTTCTAGTGGTGTCTTTTGTGTGCCATCAGTCTACGTGCACCTTGCAAGTCCCTATTTTGTTCAGGTGGCTTTTCCTTTGAAGTAAATTTGGAAACTGAATGCATCCTCAAGAATTTCACTTTTCCCTTGGAGGCGGTGAGAGGGATTATTATTAGTATTGATAACCTGGTAAATATGTAAAAGGCCTGCTGAAACACCTGATCTTCTTCTCCTTTGGTATCCATTCTCTATTTACCTTTTATGTACTGCTCTTGAGTTTCTGGGATTCAGTTAGGAATTGCAGTGCTTGGTGGTGGATGAGATTTGGGTGTATCGGGGCATCCATGGTGATAAAAGGAGGAGAAAACTTATTTTGCTCATCTCTTGGCTACTATATTGGTCATTTGGAAGGAGAGAAATAGAAGAACTGTTGAGAATGTAACTTTCCTTTTGGTAAAGTTAGATTTGGTCCTGTCTTCTGTTCAAGGTTCACCCTCTTATTTCTAAAGAGGGCCTTGGAGATCTTATGGGTATCTGAACTTCCTTATAAACTTCTGTACATGGGTGGCACCCTCTTGGTTCCTTGTTAATACATTCCGTCTTTTTATCTCAAACAAGGAAGTCAAATTTTTTTAAAAATTTGAGGTCCACGATCTCCAATGAAGCTTTTCTTTTCACTTCTGCCAGTTTTTGTTGTGCTATATCAATTGGTATTCATAAGGAGCCACTGTTCTATATCAGTTTGTAAGTATAGGCTCTTCTTCTACAACAATTGATCACAGAGTGCCTAGTTTAATTGGTTAAATTCATGAGATGAAAGTATACTAAACTAAATACTTTAATGACCTGAACCGTTTCTCTCTTGTACCTCGCGATTCTTTGTTATTTCTTATAATAAGCATGTTTTCTGGCAGCTGGAGCACCAAAACTTAATGAGTTAGAGTTACGATTAGCATATTCAAGTACATTAAGATGCAATGGTCATGGTGGGGGTGCTCTTGGTTCTAGCATGAACCTCTTTGAACGATTTGCAAGAGTTATCAAAGTAAGTCTTCTAAATAGTTTTGTGCTGTTACGTTTTGATTCCTGGAGTTGGACTCTCTCTTTCCTTCTATCTTTTTGTTGTTAAGAATTTGATTAAGTCTACTTGACTTTGTACTTGTCTTCAAACAAGTGAAGTCATATGCAAATGCAATTATGAGCTCCTTTGAAGATCCAGAGAAGATTTTAGAGCAAAGTGTTCTAGAAATGAATAATGATTTGACAAAGATGCGTCAAGCCACTGCTCAGGTATATGCACCCTTATGTTCTTTTAATAATTCCTTTCGAGTTTTCTGTCAATAAATCTTCAAGTTAAAGTGTGTAAGAGGTGAAGAGCGAAAACAATTGATGGTTGAGAGGTATGCATAAATTAACAAATACCACATATTTGATAGATTCACTTTCTTTGAAGGTTTTGGCGTCGCAAAAGCAACTGGAAAATAAATATAAAGCTGCACAACAAGCTTCTGAAAACTGGTAATTGTGTCTGCATCAGACTTTACTTTTGGTACTTAAAATTGTTAGCTAGGTAACTATTCAAAGATATATTGCTTTAAAATAGGTATAGAAGGGCACAACTTGCTCTTGGGAAAGGAGAGGAGGATCTTGCTCGCGAAGCACTTAAGCGAAGAAAGTCTTTTGCTGTAAGTTTGTTATACACACATTTATAAGACCTAAGTAAGAGGTTGAAATTCAATTAAATAAGGAATGCTAATTAGTATTGGATTCTTAAATAATAAATATGGAATCTTAATTAGTATTGGATTTAAATAGCATTTGATTTCCCAGTAATATTGGATTTCTAATTAGTATAGGATTTGTGATATTTTAATTGAGTATTTCTAATTAGATTAAGATTTCTAAATAAGAATTATAATTTTTATATAAAGGGGTATACTTGTTATTAATAACGACAAATCAGAATATTATTTTAAAATATAATATTGGAGCTCTCTCTAATGAGGTTCAAGATAGCAGCTTTCTTTGATAAGCTGTAATCTATTTTCACAAAATAGGTCGTTCAAAAAATCGGAATAAGGAGAAATAAATTCTGGAACTAGAAATTATAGAGAAACATCCAGTAATAAGATATTGGTCTTGGGAACATAACAAAGTTCTTGTTGAATTTCCCTAGAGAATTATCGAGTAAATTTTAAACTGCAGATTTATATTAAATGTTACTAATAGCGTGAAATGACTACCAAATCTTCTGCACAGAAGGCATGATATGGACATTTGGTTTATTGATATAATAGTAAAGTTGGAAAATTTGACATGAAATTCTGGTTTCCTGGAAATTTGTTTGCAGTCTTCAAAATTGTAGTTCTGATATGGATTCTAATTGAAGTTGAAAACTGAGGAAAGATAGTTTAGATGTGCAACCTTGCAAACTCTGAAAAGGAAGAGAAAGGATTAAACTTCAAAATCTGTATCCCTCGATTTATTACATAAGAAAACTCCCAGTTCCTTTGCCATGTTTATGGAGAGAATTTGAGCTCAGATTTGCATGCATATGTATTGGCTTTTGATCTTAAGGATGGTCAGGGTGGATTTCAGTTCTATTACTAGCTGGTGAAAATGGTCAAGTTCTAAGTGGAAAATTAGGATTACTTGTTGGATGCTATGCTTTCATTATGATTTGATTGTATCTTGCTGTTTATGGATATTTATAGTGATCCCTATGACACTTGTATATGCTGCTATTTGACGGGTTGCGTGAAGAGCTTAGAAAAAGATGTCCTTTTTCCAGCATCATCAATGTCTCTTTCTCAGCATTAATGCTGGTTGCCTTTAGACCTTGAAGCTTGGCTTTCCTTTCGAACAGCCCAGATAAATCCATCATTTATGTCTCGAAACCATCAACTGAACCACAAGCAAATTGTTAACTCTCTTTACATTATTTAGAACCTAGGTCAAGATCTTTTCTCTTTTTATGCTACAGGAACAATGTTTGTAGGAATTAGATCATGTCAATCCCTACTAACTTTGTAAATATTAAGAATAGATGGTTACATTATTTTGGCTCTATTCTTTTGGCTCATAACTTATTATCTTATGATGATATAGGAGCTGCTGTCGATATCCTTATTGGTATGTAAATCTTTTGTACATAGACGGCACCTCCTTGGTGTCTTTTAATACAATTACTAACTTTTATCTCAAAAAAAAAAAAGGTCATGCCAATCCCTACTAACCTCTCATGAGCACTCCTTACACTCATTTGAGATCTTTGCATTCCACATCAGCAACCATTGAAGCAAGTTCTTCTGTCTTAGGTCTGGTCCTGGCAACAGAAAATATATGGGTGAATAGATGTTTCTTTTGAAGACAAAGGAGGCCCCCCCTAGATGAATCCTCTAAAGAAACAATGACACTTTTCCTGCCCAATTCACCCTGATTCCTCTTGTTTTTAGGAGCTTGTGGTAACTAGGGCTTGCTTGCAAGGGGGGGCCTTTGGGAGAGTACCTTCACTGGGATAGTCCCAACAATCAATTTGTGTTTCTTTTTTTTTTTTTGTCATAAAGATATGTTATTGAAGCATAGAAAATCCAGATTCTTCTTTTTTCTTCCAATTTTTTCACTGGGAACATAATTTTTCTTGTTAAGGATAATTTGTAGCCATTGGAGGTAGAATTCCTTTACTCTTTGAAGTTAACTAGTAACATTTCAGCTCCTGTTTTCTAAAAATTTTATTTGAGGTGAATCGATCTTTTTACTGCTCTATTTATCTATTTAATCTCAATTGTTTGCAGGATAGTGCCAATGCTCTAAAAGCTCAGCTTGACCAGCAGAAGATTGTGTAGACAATCTAGTTTCCAATACACGGGTTGAGTAATGTCTTTTTCTTTTGATAGGAAAAACTATTATTAGAGACAGAATCAATCAGAATGAAACTAGTTT